TCACTTGGCTAATCCTCCGCCTGTGGCGCCAGCACCCTAGGTTCTAGTCCTGGTTGGGGCGCTGGGTACTAGTCCTGGTTGCTCCTCTTCCAGTCCAGCTCTCTGCTGTGGCCTGGGAGAACAGTGGAGGATGGCCCAAGTGCTTGGGTCCCTGCGCCCGCCTCCTGGCTTCGGATCGATGCAGCACCGGCCGTGGTGGCCACTTGGGGGATGAACCAACGGAAAAAGGAAGACCTTACTCTCTGTCTCTCTCTCTCTCACTGTCTGTAACTCTACCTGTCAAATAAAAGAAAAAAAAAAAGCATCCGGAACTCAAACTGATGCCCATATGGGGTGCTGGCACTGCAGGCGTTAGCTTTACCTGCTACACTACAGTGCTGGCCATTTCTGTGAACTTTTTGAAACTTCCTCATGAAAATGTTAACATAAAAACTACCATCTTTAATAAAAAGAATTTCCAGTGGCAGATTTATATATCTACAAATATCTTATAATTTTTTTGCCTTTCAACAAGCTCTTTGTTGTACAGGGTTACCTTTCAAGGTTCTTTGATGACTGTCTACATTTTATTTGTTGATATGGAACTAGATCTAGAATGTTGGTGTTTATAATTACATGTTTTAGAAGCTGTGTTGGGGCTGGTGCTGTGGTGTTGTGGGTTAAAGCCCTGGCCTGAAGTGCCGGCATCCCATATGGGCGCCAGTTTGAGTCCTGGCTGCTCCTCTTCCGATCCAGCTCTTTTCTGTGGCATGGGAAAGCAGTAGAAGATAGCCCAAGTCCTTGGGCCCCTGCACCCACATGGGAGACCTGGAATAAGCTCCTGGCTCCTGGCCTCGGGTCATCGCAGCTCTGGCCTTTGCGGCCATCTGGGGAGTGAACCAGTGGATGGAAGACCTCTCTCTGTTTCTGTCTCTCTCTGTAACTCTGTCTTTCAAATAAATAAAATAAATCTTTAAAAAAAAAAGGTTGTGTTGCAGTATAATACATGGCTCAATGTTACTATGGCTGAAGTTAAAGATAATGTTTTATGACTTTATGGTATTTAGTATATCACTAAGTAATAAAGTGATATAAATGATATAATAAAGTGATAAAAATATATAAATAAATATGTATAATATAATATATATTTTTAATTATTTCACTTTACAAATTTTATTAGGAGATCTCAATTTGGTGTCCATCGTAAATATTCATGACCAACTAGCCAAAACATCAGACTAGATACTGTGGTTCTTTGCTTATAGATTTGTGAGATATTATGCCATAGTGGTTAAAAGCATGGAATCTGAAGCCATCTGGCCTTGGTTGAAACCTGATTTTGCCATTTATAATGGTATTACCTTAATTTTTTTTCTTTTTTAAGATTTATTTATTTATTTGAAAGGTAACAGAGAGAGAGGCGGGGAGAGACAAATCTTCCACCTGCTGGTTCACTCCCCAAATAGCTACAATGGCTGGAGCTGGGCTGATCCAAAGCTAGGAGTCAGGAGCTTCTTCTAGGTCTCTCAAGTGAGTGCAAGGGCCTAGTGATTTGGGCCATTCTCCACTCCATTTCCAGGCACATTAGCAGGGAGCAGGATCTTAGTGGAGCAGCTGGGACTTGAACCAGTGCCAATATAGGATGCTGGCAGTGCAGATGGTGGCTTTATCTGTCATGCCACAGCATTCTCGTTTTTTAAAATCTGGCATTGTTAAGCTATTGCCTGCGAAGCTGCATCCCATATGGGTGCCAGTTCGAGTTCTGGCTGCTCCTGTTCCAATCCAGCTCCCTGCTAACGCGCCTGGGAAAACAGCAGAGGATGGCCCAAGAGCCTGGGGTCCTGTCCTCGTCCTCACTTGGGAGACCAAGAACAAGCTCCTTGCTTCAGCCTGGCTCAACCCAGGCCATTGTGACTATTTGGAAAGTGAACCAGCAGATGTTACAGATATCTCTGTAACATTGCCTTCCTTTTTTTTTTTTTTTTTAAAGATTTATTTAAAAGTCAGAATTACACAGAAGAGGAGAGGCAGAGAGAGAGAGGTCTTCCATCTGATGGTTCACTCCCCAAATGTCTGCAATGGCTGGAGCTGCGCCGATCTGAAGCCAGGAGCCAGGAGCTTCATCCAGGTCTCCCACAAAGGTGCAGGGGCCCAAGGACTTGGGCCATCTTCTACTGCTTTCCCAGGCCATAGCAGAGGGCTGGATTGGAAGTAGAGCAGTTGGAACTCGAACTGGTGCCCATATGAGATGCTGGTGCTTCAGGCGAGGGTGTTAACCCGCTGCGCCACAGCGCCGGCCCTAACATTGCCTTTCAAATAAAATACCTTTTTTTTTTTTTTTTTTTGACAGGCAGAGTTAAACAGTGAGAGAGAGAGACAGAGAGAAAGGTTTTCCTTTTTCCGTTGGTTCATCCCCCAAGTGGCTGCTACAGCCGGCCCGTTGTGGCCGGCGCACCACACTGATCCGAAGGCAGGAGCCAGGTACTTATCCTGGTCTCCCATGGGGTGCAGGGCCCAAGCACCAGGGCCATCCTCCACTGCACTTCCGGGCCACAGCAGAGAGCTGGACTGGAAGAGGAGCAACTGGGACAGAATCCGGCGCCCCAACTGGGACTAGAACCCGGTGTGCCGGTGCCGCAGGCGGAGAATTAGCCTAGTGAGCCGCGGCGCTGGCCAATAGAATACTTTAAAAAAAAAAATTCTGTCTACAAATATGTTAACTTCATGGCCTTGCATATTTACAAATTAGTGGACATGTTAGGTATATAAATATATGTACTCTGAACATATATGCACATACTTATAAGTTCATATTTACATACACATGCACATAAAACTTTTAGCAAGGTAAACATATTTTCATTCTTGTGAATTTCACTTTATGAATACATATTTTTAAAATGTACTTATTTGAAAAGCAGAGTTGAGAGAGAGAGAGATCTTCCAACTGCTGATTCATCCCCAAAATGGCCCCAAGGGCCAGAGCTGGGCCTGTCCAGAGCCAGGAGCTTCTTCTGAGTCTCCCATGTGGGTGCAGGGTCCCAAGCACTTAAGCCATTCTCCACTGCTTTCCGAGGCATATTAGCAGGGAGTTGGATTGGAAATGGAGTAGCCAAGACCTGTATTAGTGCCCATATGGGATACCCGTGTCGCAGGCAGCAGCTTTACCCACTACACCAGATCACTGGCCCCATGAATATTTTCTTGTGCCATTAAGAGTGCTTCAAAAGCATTGTTTTTAATGACTGCATAATTGTCTGTCATGTGCATGTACAAAGTACATTTACAAAATTCCCTGTAATTGTTTTAATGAACACTATAATGAATTTCCTTTCATATTAATTTTTGTCTGGCTTTCAGATAAATTTTTTGTAACATACTTTTTAAAAAAAATTATTTTATTTTGAAAGACAGACCTTACATTTGTTGGTTCACTTCCCAAAGCTGAAGCCAGGAAGCCAGATCTCAATCTTGGTCTCCCTAGTTGGTGGTAGGAACCCAGCTGCTGAAGCCATTACTTGCTGCCACCTAGGGTGTACATTAGCAGGAAGCTGGAAGTGGAAGTGGAACTAGGACTCTAACCTAGGTACTCCACATGGGATGCAGGTGTCCCAAGTAGTGCTTTAATCACGATATCTAATGTGTGCCCTAGTTTTTAAAGGATAAATTCCTTAAAATGGAATTACTGGATCAAATGGCATGACATTTTTAAAGTATTTTGATATACATTTCCAATTGTTTTGTAGAAAGAATGTGCATATTTTAAGAAAATTTGTTCATAATTGACTTGATCTGAAATTGGGCTTGATCTGAGGTCTGAAATTACATGTTTAGTTTTTGCAAGTTGATTTTCCCTTATACCATTCATTCATTTCAACAACTATGTATTGAATATGTACTATGTACCAGGTATGGTTTATAACTTCATGGAGCATTCCTGTCTAAGTGTCTAGAGGTCTCCAGATATTTGATAGTGGGTTAATGTTTTTAATATTTAAGATCAGAATTGAAGAAACTGTTTATGAGATATAAATTGGGCCTTAGCAACCTATTACATTATTAGGTTTTTAAAAACTATCTGGCCAGCGCCGCGGCTCAACAGGCCAATCCTCCGCCTGTGGCGCTGGCACCCTGGGTTCTAGTCCCGGTCGGGGCACTGTCCCAGTTGCCCCTTTTCCAGTTCAGCTCTCTGCTGTGGCCCAGGAGTGCGGTGGAGGATGGCCCAAGTGCTTGGGCCCTGCATCCCATGGGAGACCAGGAGAAGCACCTGGCTCCTGGCTTTGGATCAGCACGGTGCGGCGGTCATTGGAGGGTGAACCAATGGTAAAGGAAGACCTTTCTCTGTCTCTCTCTCTCTCACTGTCCACTCTGCCTGTCAGACAAACAAACAAACAAACAAACACCACAAAAACTTCGATTCCAGCTCTCTGCTGTGGCCCGGGAAGGCAGTGGAGGATGGCCCAAGTGCTTGTGCCTCTGCACCCACATGGGAGACCAGGAGGAAGCACCTGGCTCCTGGCTTCAAAGTGGCACAGCAGGCCAGCCGTAGCTGCCATTTGGGGGGTGAACCAATGGAACAAAGACCTTTCTCTCTGTCTCTCTCTCTCTCACTGTCTAACTCTGCCTGTCAAAAAAAACACACACACACACACACACACACACACACACACACACACACACCAAAAAACTAACTAATCCTGTATATATCTTCCCAGCAATTAAGTTCATGTATTTGTTTCATTAAAAAAAAAAAAAAAAAGTACTTTTCATGCTCTTTGCTAGGCACAGAAGATATATTACTCTCCAGAAGGCTATAGAGTATTTGACTTATACCTGTAGTCGTGTCTGAAGATAAGCAGTCTGAGTCTTTCCTCCAAGTCCTTTCCCATAATCCTGTGTTTCTATGGTAGTTTATTTGCTTACATTTAAATTCCGAGTAAGTTATGTTACCTTAAATTTTAGTTGTTCTTATGTGGATAATCAGTTTCATGGATATTACATCTTTAATTTATAAACAGGTTGAATCATTTATTTTGGACCAAGAAGATTTGGATAACCCAGTACTTAAAACAACCTCGGAGATATTCTTATCCAGTACTACAGAAGGAGCAGACTTACGCACTGTGGATCCAGAGACGCAGGCACGACTAGAAGCTTTGCTGGAAGCAGCAGGTACTTTTTTTTGGTTTTTCTTTTCATCTCTTTAAAAAAAAGTCTAGATCTCCTTATGTAGTTTTACCAGATTATCCCAGAATTATGTTAGAGAAAATTTGAAATCTGCAAAATTTATTTTTTGTAAAAATGTTCAGATTTTCCTTTCTTTCTTTTTTTTTTTTTTTTACAAAAATATTTATTTATTTGAAAGGCAGAGTTACAGAGAGAGGGAGAGGTAGAGAGAGAAACAGAGAGTTCTTCTATCCGCTGGTTCATTCCCCAAATAGCCACAACTCCTAGGACTGCGCAGGCCAAACCCAAGAGCCAGGAACTTTATCTGAGCCTCCAGAGAGGGTTCAGGGGCCCACCATCTTCCACTGTTTTCCTAGGGGCATTAGCAAGGAGCTGGATTGGAAGTAGAACAGCTAAAACTTGAAGTAGTGACCATATGGGATGCTGGCATTGCCGGCTGTGGCTTAGCCTACACATTTTACTTTTTTTTTTTTTTTAAGATTTGTTTATTTATTTGAAAGGCAGAGTTACTGAGAGGTAGAGGCAGAGAGAGGGAGAGAGAGAGAGGTCTTCCATCTGTTGGTTTACTTCCCATGATGACCGCAATAGCCAGAACTGGGCTGATCTGAAACCAGGAGCCAGGAGCTTCTTCTGGGTCTCCCGCATGGGTACAAGGGTCCAAGGACTTGGGCTATCTTCCACTGCTTTCCCAGGCTATGGCAGAGAGCTGGATTGGAAGTGGAGCAGCCGGGACTCAAACTGGCACTCATATGGGATGCTTGCATTGCAGACAGTGGCTTTACCCCCTATACCACAGTACTGGCCCCCACATTTTGCTTTTAAAAATTCTTGGTTGAAAGTTTTCAGTGAGGGGTCATTGTTGTGGCATAGCATGTTAAGCTGCTGCCTGCAGTGCCATCATCCCGTATAGGCACTGATTTAAAACCCCACTGCTCCATTTCTAATGGAAGACCTCTCTCCATTTCTCCCTCTCTGTCTCTAAACTTTGCCTTTCAAATAAAAATAAATCTTAAAAGTTATCAATAAATGATTTCTAGGCTCAGCCTTGATAGTTAGAAAGTATTAAGAAAATCAGCTGGTTATCAAGGAAAACTTAACCTATTATCAGTTACTTTATAAAATAAAAATGTGAGTGATAAATTTAGTTCATCACATTGTTACTTTGTCTTAACTGATTTAGGGAATTCTGCATGTTGATTTATTGCTTATTCACTTTATGTATTATGAATAGGTGTTTTTAATAGACACTAAAATAAAAATTGAATACAAGCTTGAGATGTAATAAGCTATATCCATTTTTGTTCTGTAGCAGAAACAAATTTGGTAAGTATACTTTCTCAAAATAATACATATTTATTTACTTATATTATGCAGTCTGCATATTAGTTATGCAAAGTTTGTTACACTGTAATGGAAACCTTTTCTGTTTCCTAAATGGTTTGTTTTGAGAAGGAAGTTACTGTGATTTTTAAATAAATTTTTTTTATTTGAATGACAGACAAAGACAGAGATTCTTGCTTCTTCTGGTTCATTCCTCAAATGCCCACAAAAGCTCTGGTTGAGTCAAGCCAAAGCTAGATCTGGGAACTCAATCTGAGATTCCCAGATGGGTGACAGAAACCCAGCTTCTTGAGTTATTAACTGCTGCCTCCCAAGGTGTGCTCAAATTGGGAGAACTGGAACTTGAGCCCAGGCATTCCAGTATGGCATATGGTGTCTTAAGCTGTGTCTTAACTGCTACATCAACCACCTGCCCCACATTTTCTGATCTTTGTTTATGGCCTCTGCAACATGTTTACTTTGTTTGACATTCCTCTTTTTTAAGACTTGTTTATTTGAAAGGTAGAGCAACAGAAAGAGTGCTTCTGTCTGCTAGTTCACTCCTCAAATGGCTTACAATAGCCACGATTGGGCAGGCCAAAGCCCAGGGCCAGGAACTCCATCCAGGGCCTCTCATGTGGGTGGCAGGGACAAGCACCTGGGCCGTCATTTGCTGGTTTTCCAGGTCCATAAACAGGAAGCTGGATTGGAAGCAGAACAACTGGGACACTGACAGTCCAATATGGGACACCAGGATTATAAGCCTCAGCTTAATGAAGTGTGCCACATGCTGGCCCTTCTCTTTAAAAGATAATTTTATCTCTTTTTTTATTTGAGAGACAGAATGTGCTCCCCCATCGCTGATTTCACTCTACAAATGTGAACAACAGCCAGGAGTGAGTCAAGCCAAAGTCAGGAACTGAAAACTCAATCCGGGTCTCCTACATTGATGGCAAGGAACCAATCACTAGAGCTATTACCTGCTTCACAGGGAGCACTTTAGCAGGAAGCTGGAATTGGGAACGGAGCTGGAACTAGAATCCGGACACTCCAACATATGGGATATAGGCATCCTAACTGTTGGCTTAACTGTAGGCAAAACTATTGCCCTGACACACTTTTTTTTTTTGGATAGAGTTAGTGAGAGAGACAGAGAGAAAGGTCTTCCTTCCTTTGGTTCACCCCCCAAATGGCTGCTACGGCCGTAGCTATGGCGATCTGAAGCCAGGAGCCAGGTGCTTCCTCCCGGTCTCCCATGCAGGTGTAGAGGCCCAAGCACTTGGGCCATCCTCCACTGACTTCGCAGGCCACAGCAGAGAGCTGGACTAGAAGAGGAGCAACCAGGACTAGAACCCGGTGCCCATATGGGATGCTGGCACCACAGGCGGAGGATTAGCCAAGTGAACCACGGCACTGGCCCCCTGACACACTCTTTATCTGATCTCTTAATGTATTTATATGTGCATAAAAATTTAATCTAGATGAAGATACATATAGAAAATTTCAGCCAGTTTCTGGGTCCTTTGTTCAATGTAATTTTATTTAAAAAAAATAAGCTTTTCAAAAAAATATTTGCAGGGACCAGTGCTGTGGTGTAGCTGGTAAAGCCGCTGCCTGCAGTGCCTGCATCCCATATAGGTGCCAGTTTGAGTCCCGGCTGCTCCACTTCCTATCTAGCTCTCTGCTTTTGCCTGGGAAAGCAGTAGAAGGTGGCCCAAGTGCTTGAACCCCTGTTCCCCATGTGGGAGACCTGGAAGAAGCTCTTCACTTTGGATCAGTGCAGCCCCAGTAATTGTGGCCACCTGGGGAATGAACCAGCAGATGAAAGACCCCTCTCTCTCTCTGCCTCTGCCTCTGCCTCTGCCTCTCTGTAACTCTGCCTTTTTCTTTAAGGAAAAAATATTTGCCAGAGGGGAAGCCTACCCATGCACTGAATCATTTCCCGAATAATTGCAGTGGCCAGGGTTGGGCTATGAGTAGGGCCAAAGCTGGGAGGCGCTAATGCAACCCAGGTCTCCCATGTGAATGGCAGGAATCCAAATAGTTGAGGCATTATTGCTGCCTCCTGGGGTCTGCATTAGTATGAAGCTGGTTTCAGAGCAAGAGCCAGGAATCTCAAATACTCTATTGAAGGCTATGGGAATCTTAACCAAGCTAAATGCTCCCTCCCAGTAAACATAATTTCATAGTCACTTTTTTTTTTTTTTAAGATTATTTATTTGAAAGGCAGCATTATAGAGAGGCAGAGGCAGGGTAGGGGGATGTCATCCATCCAGTGGTTCACTCCCCAGATGGCTGTAATGGCTGGAGCTGGGCTAGTCCAAAGCCAGGAGCCAGGAGCTTCTCCTGGGTCTCCCACACAGGTGCAGGGGCCCAAGGACTTGGGCCATCTTCTACTGCTTTCCTAGGCCATAGCAGAGAGCTGGATCAGAAGTGGAGCATTCCAGGACTTGAACTGGTGGCCATAATGGGATGCTAATGCTGCACACTGGGGCTATAACCTGCTGTGCCACAGTGCCAGCCCCCATAATCACCTTTTAACATACATCTTTTTTTATTTTATTTTATTTTATTTTTTTTTTTCTGACAGGTAGAGTTAGACAGTGAGAGAGAGAGCCAGAGAGAAAGGTCTTTGTTCCATTGGTTCACCCCTCAAATGGCCGCTAAGGCTGGCCCGCTGCACCACTCTGAAGCCAGGAGCCAGGTGCTTCCTCCTGGTCTCCCATGTAGGTGCAGAGGCCCAAGCACTTGGGCCATCCTTCACTGCCTTCCCGGACCACAGCAGAGAGCTGAACCGGAAGAGGAGCAACTGGGACAGAATCTGGCGCCCCAAGCAGGACTAGAACCCGGGGTGCCGGTGCCGCAGGCGGAGGATTAGCCAAGTGAGCCACGGCGCCGGCCTACATGTTTCATATTAAAGGGAAAAACCTATTGCATTTCAACAATTAATGAATAAAGTGAGGCTGGAATGTAAAGCAAATTGAACATTTTTATAGTATTCTTAGATATTGTGTTATGAATATTTACCTGATATTAATTTTAAACTCCTTAAACTTTGTGATTTTTAGATCATCTAATGTGTATTTTTGGAACTGACAGAAGCTTAGAATTAGGTTGAACAAAATCTTTAATTATCTAGTAGGTGACCGGTGAATTTAGGACAGGGATAGTAAATTTTTTTTTTTTTTTAAGATTTATTTGTTTATTTGAAAGGCAAAGGTAGGACCGGCACTGTGGCATAGCAGGTAAAGTTGCCGCCTGCAATCCCGGCATCCCATATGGGCACTGGTTGGAGACCTGGCTGTTCCACTTCCGATCCAGCTCTTTGCTATGGTTTGGGAAAGCAGTGGAGGATGGCCCAGGTCTTTGGGCCCCTGCACCCACGTGGGAAACTTGGAAGAGGCTCCTGGCTTCGGATTGTTGCAGCTCCAGCCGTTGTGGCCAATTCGGGAGTGACCCAGCGGTTGAAAGATCGATCTCTCTCTCTCTCTCTCTTTCTCTCTCTGACTTTCCTTCTCTGTGTAACTGTGACTTTCAAGTAAAATAAATAAATCTTTAAAAAAAATAAAAGGCAAAGTTACAGATAGGCAGCTGCAGAGTGGGGTGGTCTTACGTCTGCTGGTTCATTCCCTAAATGGCCACAATAGCTGGAGCTGAGCCAATCC